TAAAGGCCCTTTTTCGCACGCATTTGAGTGTTTAAAACGGAGATTGTGATTCAGGTATAATAAAAAATGATTTTTTCCCTAAAATATACCCAACAAACATGCATAAAAATACATGCATCGCAATCTCGTATGAATTTTGATGCAGCACATTTTGTGGTAGTGCATAAAATACGAGATAAAATATGAGGGGAGTGGAAGGAGAATATCTTGAGGAGGTTACCGATTTTTCCATAACTTTTGTTGGACAACGATCTCTTCGGGTGATAAGATTTTACATAAATAGTCTTTTTAGCAAACATGATGAGTGGTAGAGGGCGCGGTTTGACATTAAAATGAACTTTGCAGGTTTTCTTGAAAATTTCAATTGGACTGATATAATTATTATATGATATTATCAAAATAAGGTATAAGATTAAAATGTCAGTGAAATCCGCACTTTGATATCTGTTTCCTAAGCAGAGATATGGCGAAAATACGCACATTCACAATTTTAAACTGCAATATTAAGACCAAGAGACAGATGAACGTATGAAGGAAATTATGGGAAGAATTGAAAGGTAATGGGAAAGGAATGGCGTTAAATGTAGGAAAGTAGAAGAGATTTGGGAAGGAGGGGAGGGGGGTGGAATGAAAGGGGCCACGAAGAGAGGAACGAATAGAATAGGTAAAAGAAATTAAGTATTTAAGGTAACAAGTGCAAAGAAACGATGGAACAAATACGCAGATAAGAGAATTAAGAAGTGTGGGGAATTGCAGACAGGGGGGTTCAAGAATGATTTTGAAACAAGAAAGTACCTGTTCGATGCAATAGTGAGAGGAGAGTTTAAGTACGGAACAGAGGGTGGAAGGAATGGGAGGAACTGGAAGAAGTACAACGAAGGCATTATAAATGAGTATTTTATTATATTATAGGAAGAAACTAAAATGGAAAAGATAAGGATAGCGTCGGGGCGTAGGGCGGAAAGCGATAGAGAAAGCGAATTGCCAAGCTGGGGTCTAATATTCTAACAAGACATACGCTAAGCAGAGATAACCATTAAAATGACATTTAGAAACCTTTTCTCGGAAAAATGACCCCATCCGGATCTTTTATCGTAAAATTTGTAGCGCCTTTTTTAAGAATTAAAAAAAAGTCTCTTACCCCTTATAAATATGGGGAGTTGGGGGAGGAAGAGATCTGGTTTTATCCGTCATGGTACTCGAGTGCGTCGTAGGAACAAAGTAAAATACAATATTACGGTGAATTTCTGTAAGGGCTGGATTCTTATTGCAATCTGTAGCGTGCATTTTGAATGTGCTCCCGTCGGCCCTTAACCCTGAACATGTAGTTCAGGGTTATGGAACCCCCCTCCCCTATCTCTTTAATCATCTACCAATCGATACATATAGCATGCTACTACCTTTTAACCGAACTATTTACTAAACTATTTCGGTAAAAAAAATGCACTTTATTGGCACAAGATTTTTGCATAATTTATACTTGTCTTTAATTGTTAATAATAATATATGTAGTATAATAATAAACAATTTAAAAATATTCTAAGGAGATTTAAAAAAAACGAGGGTATTCTGAAAGTTCGGTTGATTCTAAAGGGTCGAAAGATTCTATACGGATTCTCAAAGAAGTCTAAGATGATCGAAAAGTCCTAAAAAGATTTCTACGAGGGTGGTAAGAATATTCAGACCGTTTGTTTCCAAAATGATTACAAGGAGAGTCAAAGAAGGATAGTCTAACACTCAAAGATGGTTCTAGGAGGATTCCACGAAGATTACGAAAAAGTTATTTGTACCACTAGAGAAGAAAGTGGAGTTTTTCAACTCGAGTTTGACACGGGCGTAGCAATTGTTTTTTAATTTCCTCACTAGAGAGGAAAATCGCATATTCTTCACCATTTTTTGAGACGAAAGTAGTTGTTTCTAAAAGAGTTTCAGAAAAAATACTTTTCAAATTCGGAGGAAATCTTAATATGCGTCATTGGTGATCAATTTTTCGCGTACTAAAAATTCTACCGGTAACCGAATT